CCGAGAACAAAAAAATTGAGTTTAGGTTTAATCTGATCCTTGATGATCACCTCCAGTTGGTCGTGCTTATGCAAGACGGTTGCAACATTAAGTGAAAAATCCCCAAAAAAATATTCGGACGAAGTTTAAAATTGGACCTTCTTGGAGTACACCATATTTTGAGTAAGCTGTGACAAGTATTCAAATTCCAATTGCAGAGAACCGAATTCTGATAAAATTGAATAATCACCATTGGCCCAACCCCAGTTATGCGATTTTCCCGTTACAGGATTCACCAAAGCATGAGGTATGCCAGTCGGTGTGTCGAAAGCTGGTAATAAGATATCAGCAACATCTCTTGCCTTATGTATGAACATCTGCAAAAGAAAAAATTATTTCATCATTTTCTTTTTTTTTCATAACGTTGTTAATCGTTCTGAAAGTAAACAATGACAATTTCTGACTGACCCAATTACCTCTAAATCAAAAAATAGGGATAAAAGTGTACAGAACAACCATAAAATCTCTTCAATTACATTCAAAAAATCAAAAAAAATATACAGTAACCTCATCACGAGTTAAAGCATAGGCAGCCAGCAAACCCCCGACAAAACGAATGTTAGTTTCAAACACAGACACATCTGTAGTCTGAAAATATCAGAACAATAAAAATTGCATTCTCAAAATATTCTTTAAACATGCAAATCTAAAATTTATTCAAAAGTTTGGTATTTTTACAATTTTGTTTGAGAAAAATTAGAATGACCAAATTAGAGTGCAGGCCAAAAATTTTATTTTTAATAACCATTGTAAACTTTTCTTTTGCAAACAAAAATTCAACACAGTAAGTCTACCATACAGTACACAGCGGGTTCAAAGTTTTTTTTTCAATTTTTTAATTAGTGAATTAATCTAAATGAAGTATAGAACAAATGAGAAATCGAAGCCAATACGAAACGGCTAGTATTCATCAACAAATAAATTTTGCTGTCATTTCTTGAATATCAAAAAAACTTGTATGCATAGTTAGAGTATTTTAATAATAAAAATTCATTCGTGTTTTATACAAATAGCGGAAAAAAAAAGAGTAATTTTAATATAACTTACAGAAGTTTTTAGATCAAAATTGTGTTCTATCCAATTCCGCCCTTCTTCATATTCTTCTCTCAAACCCATAATATACAAAGTATCAAGAGCATCAATAATAGTCGCACCCAACTCACCGCTGCCAAATATTGATGCACTGTGACCTGACTTTGATAAGGGTTTTAATTCGTTAAAACCCCATGCATATTTCCGATAATTATCCCACGCAAATTTAGTCATCTGCAACGAAAGCAAAATACTATAAATCTCGATGAAAAATAACCTTCTGAACTTTCCACGTTTCATCTCCATAGTTATACCCATTAAGATTTAAAGATCTTCGAAAAAAATAAAAAAATCATGTTACATTATTGTCATTGTAAAATTACAAATATTGTTGTAAATTAATTCTTGTTAACAGTTAATACACAACTTAATTGGGTCGTAAGTATTTCGAGAAAATTGCCATCAAATTGCTGTTGAGAATTTTGAAAAACTAGAAAAATACACGACAACGTGGAATACAAACGTTATGGAATACTGAAGTGTAAATATAAACTGACTAACTCCTAAAAGATAATCGCGAAGTTCATCTATCGTAAAATTACATTAGAATAGTGCTAAAAGTTCAGTAAATTTAGCAAGACAAGCTTGTATATAAAAAATATAATTCACTTGATTAGAAAAATTCAAAATGCATCAAGAATCACATCCTTTTTGTTTTGAAGCAGAGAAATACACAATCCTGAATTTCTATATGATGAAAACTGAAGCCGTTAAGACTTACATTAACAATGAACTGTTGTCGTTCAGAATCTACATCATATCCACTTCCATTTGATAGCGTGCTTTCCATTTCCACAAAAACTCTACGTGACTGTTGCTTAATTCCATGCTGTCGTACTTGCGCCAAAAAACGAGATCTATCGCTTCTTCTTAATCGACCAAATCTGATAAAAATCATAATTCACTATGATTATTACGTGAAAAAATTTCAGTCCTACATAAGCAAATACGAAATTAAGCTTTGAAGAATCATTCAAATACTATTAAAATAATATAGAGTTCAATTATATATAAAAAAGTATACTTTACCATCACTAACATTGCTGCAACTTTTCAGAATCAGTATGCTATAAAGCGAGCACAAATCAAATTCGTAGTAATTAATTATACCCGAATTCTTCAAGCAATAATTTATTATCGTTTATTATGTTCACAGTTTTCGCAATAAATATCTTTCTAATCTCTCTCTTACTATGTTAAAAAATGACTATTCTTAATAATTTTTGCAAATAACCCAGAAAGATTATCAATAACAAGAACAGAAATATATTACTTGATAATGACACATTCATGGTATTAACCTTAAAAAACTGTCGTCACCAGATGGTAAATACAGGAGTGAAAAGATAAAGGAGAAGCATATTAATATTATAACAAATTTTTTCCAGTAACCATAGACCATATTTTAATCAGTTCCTGAAACAATTAAAGAAACTGGCAAAATTATGTCTAAAACTGATACATTTTTCATTTTTGTTTATTGTATTTTTTAATCAATTACTAAATCCTGAACCAATGCTGTGTAATATTCATTAAAATTATTTCTAATATACAAATATCAGTGTTCTATAATTTCAAACGTTTTATCGATGTTTCGAAAATACAAAAGTACTTTGTAACCAATGCATACAAGGAATGAAAGTATGCTATAAGTGTCCGTTATTACACGTATTATAAAACTAACTACAGGCAGTCAAAGATTTTTATTACACAACTTTCATTTGTGCATATTTATACACCATATAAGACCTCAATTTTAAGCACTATTTTGACAGCAGTATGTGCAAACAAATATTAATTTTTTGTATGTGAAAACGATTTAAAGATTTTTTTACTGACCAAATTTCTGCTCTATTTTTGTAAATAAAGATATAGAAGTTACGTTAACTGCAAAAAATACAAAAAATAAAAATTAAATAAATTTATTAGACAAAAGTTATCGAGTAAAACGTCACTCTTTTCAACTACTATAAAAGAATATTATTTTATAAACGTAAAAAACAGTACACTCTGATTTATAAGGTAGAAAAGTACTAAATCATTCAAAATTTCCATTTCATTATTTTGTAATGGAATATTTGCTTACTCACAAAGTACACAATACTTTAATAATTACATGAATTATTACCTGTCACGTGAATAGTCCAAACTAACCCACGTGCATTCCTTTTTTGTCTTAAACCTTACGCAACGGTTACGGTGTGACACGTGGTAATCGATTTTAGTTGCTGATATGTATTCGCCACAAGAGCCGAAACAATACACACTCATCGATTACCAACGTGCTTGCAGTCCTTGAAAAAAATTATCAGACTGGATAATGTCAACAAATCTTTGGTTCAATAAAAAAGCATAATGACCACTGTGTGAGGAAGAAGACCACGTTTTGGTTTGATTTACAA